CCACGCCCCGCAGCCACCCACGCCAGGATCTGCGTCACGCAGCCGCGTGGGAGTGAGAGAGAAATGTAGCAAGAGAGGAGCAACCAACTCGGAACAGTATAGGGGAGTAGGGATAAACCAATAGTTAGCAGGTCCTTTGTACTAAACTTCTATAACCCATACTCATTTGGCTTCTCGCCGTGAGGGGAGAATTGAAGAGCAAGAAAGGAACGAGAGGTTGGATGAGCGGTGCAAAGAGTTCTGCAGGTATATACGCGCCCGCGTTGGCCGCTTTCTTTCAATTTCTAGCAGGGAGCAAATTTCAGATGGGTCCATAGATGGACTAGAAAGTATGCTAAAGACAAACAACTTTAGATTGGATTTTAATAGCCTAAATAATTGTGTGGACACGGAACAGTATTACGGATAATATAAAGAAGAGAGATAGGCTAGGATAGTCGTTTATAATAGCCTATTGATGAATATTATTGATGAAGGGAGTGCACATCCTACGGTAACTAAGCCTCATTCATTCTGTTGGCACAACATTACGACGTTTTTTATGACTTGTATATGCGGAAAGTGGAGTTTTGCACTGTGCATTACACTGGCAGACAGTAGAAACAATATATATATATATATATATATATATATATTACTCTCGCAGTGGGAGACGCAAACCCGTTTATTCCCGGGCGCAGGGACGGCGGCGGTGGGAGTCTATCGGCAGCTGTGTAAAGAAAGCATCTGCTTGCTCCCTCCCTTGCTTCTGTCGTTTTCCCACAATTACTTAAATAACGTATGCTTTCCTGGTGGATTTTAAGCATAGTTGGCATCGAGTACGTGACTGAGAACTTATTTGGTGCATAGGCCTGCTTGATTCAAGGCTTTCCAATAAGGAAGTGCGAGATGCTATCCTGGGAAGTCAATTGTCGTGATTTCAGGGTTGATTGTCATCATATTTACAATAATTTGAGATGACATTATGATAATTTCGAACAGTGAGAGAAGGCTTGAACCAATGACTCTGCAGTTACAGGGCCAGTGCAGTAGCGTACCTCTCCTGTGCCATAAAGGTCAGGACATCATGGCAGGACATAAGCCTAACCTAACAGGGGCCCCAGATAGCAGGAACACACTTCCTGGGAGAAACTGAGGCATTATCCCACCACTATCACCTCTGTAGCATTCTAGCAAAGGGTTTTCCTCAGATTTTCATTATTTTTTTTGGACCGTGATTCAGCTTTTTTAAAGGGTTTCAAGTCGGAAGTAAGGGTACCCAAACACCAGCTAGAACATCTAGTAATAAATGCTTCATAATAGAACATAAGACATTGACAGAATTTGATGTTACCCAATGTCCACAGATGATGAGCATGGCTCCCAGTTCTTGGAAAAGCACTATCTTCCTTGTCTCTGAACCAGAATCTGGGTTTACAGGAGACGTTGAATATGGTGATTCTCCTTTAAGCCCAGGAAGCAGTCATTCAACTTGCCATTCACCAGCTTTTCAAGCTTAATAATGTCAAAATACGTTCAGTACTCATTGAGAAACTATTGTCATTACTGCCATACCGGATGGTATGTACTTCCCAAAAAGGTAAAAATAAAAAGTTACATGCAACCAAAAAAATGCCTTGTCTGGAAATAATCTAAGTATTGTTTTTGAGCAAGTGTGCTGGCACCAAATCATTCATTACTGCCACGTACAGGTCGGCTGAAACAGCAGCAGGAAAGGTAATTGATTTGATCACCTACAACAGTGTATGAACGCCATATCAATCTGTTGTTTCACCCACGCTACACGGAATGCAATAATATTTAATGTAAGTAGATTAAGTAGACGATATAGGGTACGTTTTTACAGTGATTGTACATTTATAGATAAGCTTTATTTACTGTATTTTAATTCCATTACTAATATTGCAGGAGGTGCAGAAGAGGTGGATTTAAGAGATTTGAAGTCTAGGTTTGAAATAAAATATGGCATCAATTACTGTTCCAAAAGGCATTTGTCAGAACTTTTACTTAATGATGGTGCTCTAAACATGCGCAAATTCCCATAGGAACACAGCCATGTTAAAAGCGCAGGGCTTGTCTAACGTGCCATAGCTTCATTTTTCTCTTACAGGAATGATGGTCATATACATATGAGGAGAAAGCTGAAGTCGCTACCTACTGTATCCATTGATGTAAATATATCCCCTGTCTGATTCCCAATTCGTCCACTAGAAAGCAGTAGTAGATCACATGACGTCTCGTGGCCTCTTGAAACCAGTTGCGTCTGGTTTGGGTAGTGAGTCACTGTGCCAAAATTGCTGAACTGATTTTGAAGCCTGACATCTTAAAATGACCCTAGCAATTAAAAATAAACAAATAAGACACAGACAGGTGAGGAAACGTAAAATTAATTTTCCCATTCACTTTTCCTATTTTAAACGAGTGAGATAGATCACGGCGCATGTGGAGGATGCATGTGGATGGAGAAGGAAATGCATTGCTTTACAATGACCATCAGGATGTTCCCTTTCCATGCATACTAAATGTTTGCAGTTTTGATGACTTGCCCTACATTGCATACTCTAAGAATATGATGATAGCGCATTAGTTATGGTCTTTATGGGGGGGGGCGGTGGGGGGGGATTCTTATGACAATATTTGATTTCAATTTCCAAAAAGACAAGGGCCGTAGCGGGGGAGGGGGACAGAGCCCAAAACAACCATTCAGAGTTTAACAGGTTAATGTGTAATTTGAGAGCACTTTCCCAGGAACTGCAGTGCTGAGGCAATGGCCCGAAGCCATCCAATGTTATCACGCATTTGGTGAGAGCAGTGAGGGCTCTGATGAGGTTGTATAGCCTAAATGGGTTTCAGCAACTACCCCAGATAACAAGCCACTGAGCTCTCAGACTGTCAGTAGGACACAGCTTCTGTGTTAAATATTCAGCTTGAGTACAGCACAACCTAACTCTCTCTCCAGCACTGACAAATTGACCCTTTCTCTCCTTTGGATGATTCTTTACAGAACACGGTGGTTCTTTTGAGAAAGTTAGAGGTGGTTGATGCCATGTGCTATTTCTGAGAATAGCCAAAACATTGGATGCTTAGAGGGGTTTGGTGAAGGAGCAACTGCTTTGACCTCTGATATTAAGGCGTAAATGTGACTCAATCAACAATATCACAATGGAGCTTGAAAAGTTAATAACAAAACAGACAGAAACAGACAAATTAATTGATTCCATATTGGTATATGTAGCATGACAAAGGCACCAGTTATATTGTAAGTATCGAGTAGAATACATAGCAGTACAACAAGGTGTCCTTCCACCACGCAAATGGACATGTAAATTGCATCGCCTATTGGTTAGGTCTGATCTTTCTTCTTTATTGCAGGGTCAGAGAGGGTGAACAAGAAGCCATTTGTCACTGTCCACAAACATGTAGTCCACATGAAACAAGTGACTGTTCATCGGTGCCGTCTCAGTGTTCTGTATACAATAACAGCCAGTTCTTTCTGTCAGATTCAGCTTCTAAGGAAAGACGGAAAGAACTGGCTGTTATTGTAAACAACAACAGTATCTATCTTGTGTGTCTTTGTTCCGTAGTGTGCTCGGTAAAGGTGTGAGTGGGTAGGTGTGAGGCTTGCTCCATCGGAGAAAGGGGTAAAAAGGAAGCCCCTTTCGGCACGCGTTTGTCTGGATAAGGCTGACTCGCAGACAGGGAGAGAGAGAGCGAGAGAGAGAAGGAGAAGGAGAGGGGGAGTTGGAAAGAGGCTATGTGGGAGAAAGAAGAGATACAGAGTGGGGAAGAGAGTAAATGTGTTTGAAAAACAGACTGATGAAGACAGACAAGACAAACAGAGAAGGGGGGTGGGGGGGAGTCTGCAGCCAGGTGAGATGCTGACATTATGTTTGTGCTAGCTGCACTCATCCTCTAGCCTTCATACCCTGAATCAACGTTGTTTCCACATCATTTCAACCCAAAAATTCAATGTGATGATGTTGAATCAACGTTGAAAACTGATTGGATTTGCAAAAAGTCATTTTAACCTAAATCCAATGGCATGGTGATTTTTTGTTGTTGATTTCGCGTTGAATTCACGTTAGTTGACAACTCAACCAAATGTAAATGAAAACTAGATGTTGAACTGCCATCTGTGCCCAGTGGGTGTTCACTTGTGATTGACTTTTAATCGAGTTGTCAACCGACTCCATTAAGTACTGGGACTCAGCCACAGAGTGTGAGAGGAGGCACAGTGTCAGAGTAATAATCAGTTGATGAGGTGAAAAACACTGGCTACTGGGTTTAACTAGCAATAATATGGCAGACAAACAAACATTATATGGCTGGTCCAAGGGATAGAGCTGATTAGAACTGCACATCGGGATAGGCAGAAGTGTGAGTGTGTATGTGTGTGCGTGCGTGCGTGCTTGCATGGAGGGCACAGATGAAGTGGAGGGTGAGTCAAATCTAAATCAGCCTCTGTGCTAGCCAGCAACCTGCCTTGTATCCCGCCCTCACCCTTGCTCCATTTCACTCCCCTCACTGGCTGTGTTAGGTAAGCTATAAGCTGTACTGGGGACAGGGAGTGGGGGAAGAATGCACACACGCACGCACAGTGGTTGACTCCATGCTGAGAGAGAGAGAGAGAGAGAGAGAGAGAGAGAGAGAGAGAGAGAGAGAGAGAGAGAGAGACCACCTACGTGTGCTGCAGAGGTGGTGTCTGGAATGTGACTCTCCCTGGTCTCCAGGAGTGTGGCAGGCTCTCCTTAAGCTGTGTTCAGATCTGCCTCTCTGACTAATGATGCACCATTATCACAGCTTCACATTCTTTATTCTGCTAATCTAGCTACACTACTACACTACTTATTGGTTAGGCCGTAGTAGTATGTCTTTTTTATATTTTTGCTGTGTTTGTATATTCATAGATTATTTATGATGTATTTATTGCTCAAGTCTTTCAGATCTGAACTGTGCTTTGTTTCTCTGGAGGTTGATTTGTCTGTGTGTTTCTTTCAGGTATGGCGGCAGCGTTGCCCAGGACCCTGGGGGAGCTCCAGCTCTACAGGATCCTCCAGAGGGCAAACCTGCTGTCCTACTACGAGGCCTTCATCCAGCAGGGCGGCGACGACGTGCAGCAGCTGTGTGAGGCGGCCGAGGAGGAGTTCCTGGAGATCATGGCCCTGGTGGGCATGGCCAGCAAGCCCTTGCATGTAAGGAGGCTCCAGAAGGCCCTGCGAGACTGGGTCACCAACCCGGCCCTGTTCAACCAGCCCCTGGCCTCTCTCCCTGTCTGCAGCATCCCTGTCTACAAGCTAGAAGCTAACGGTAATGCTAACGCTAGCACCCACATCAAAGTGCCCAAGCTTCTGGCGGCGGCATGTGTGGGGGAGCCCAGGAGAGGCGAGGCGTCGGCATCAGGGGTGGGGGGCGAGGGAGGAGGGGGTTCGGCCTCAGGGTCTCCACTGCAGAGGGGCAGCGAGCCCCGCTTCTGGGCCTCCTTGTACTCCCACACCGGGGGAGGGGGACCGGAGAGCGAGCACAGCCTGTCCCCAGTGGAGTTGACCCTGGGTCTGGGTTCGCCCTCGCCCTCGTCCCCCCGCGGCGAGGAGGTGCTAGATGCCGCAGCGTTGAGGTCAGTGGTGGAGTGTGTGGAGCGGCTGGCCCAGGCGCTGCCCCGGAGCGACCCGGCCGACGTGAAGGAGGGGCTGAGGGGCAACAAGAAGCTGGCCAAGATGATCTGCCACATCCTGGACATGGACGAGGACGACCCGAGGAGGGCGGAGGAGATACGCAAGTACAGCGCCATCTACGGACGCTTTGACTCCAAGAGGAAGGACGGCAAACACCTTACGCTGCACGAGGTAGAGGGGGAAAGAGAGTGTGTGTGTTTGTGTCTATCATTGTGCAAAGAGTAGAACATTTTCAGATGTTTGGGAACTTGTTCGTTGGTATTCTGCTTTAGATACTTTTGACCACATGCTTTCAAGCTATTGAGAAAACCTGCTTTATAACTGCATAGAACATCTCTCTCTATCTCACCTCCACTCTCTTCTTCTCTCCCTCCTCTCCTCTTCCTTCTCCCTCTCTTCCCCTCTTCTCCTCCCCCTCTCTAACCCCCTCTACCTCTTCTCCTTCTTCCATCTCTCTATCTCTATCTCTCTATCTCTGTGTCTAGCTGACAGTGAACGAGGCAGCAGCTCAGTTGTGTATGAAGGAGGTGTCCCTGCTGACCAGGAGAGATGAGCTGTTTGGTCTGGCTAGACAGGTCTCCCGGGAGGTCACCTACAAATACACCTACAGGACCAGCAAGTGAGAACAGCTACCACACACACACACACACACACACACACACACACACACACACACACACACACGCGCACACACACACACACATTCATCTTGAGGATGAATGGTAATACTTTCATGTGTCTGGGTGAAAGCCTTCTCATGAGTGGTTGATGAACAAAGTTGAAGTAAAAAATGTCACCCGATTTTTTGAGTATCAGATATGGTGCTCCACCCTCGTAGTTGCCAGCCAAGAAGTGTGTTTGTGCGTGTTTTTGCATGTGTGTTTGCGAACATATTTCTGTGTGTGTGTATGTGCTTGCCACTTCCCTCTCACTCCTTCTAGATGACAGAGGTCTAATCTGACATGCAGGTGCTTCCTGGCTGGCAACCACAAAGATGGAAAATTCCACCCAGCGCCGCGTGTCTCTCTCACTTGTTCTTGTCATTATGACGTTGCATGTTGGTTGTTGCCTTTGTGAAGTAGGCCAAGCCTAAGAAATGGGCATGTTTGTATATTGCAATCTGTGTACTGCTTTAAAATATAAGTTGTTGTCCTAAAGAACTTTGTTTGAAGTGGGTTTCATTCAAGCTTAGTATGTTTTTAAGAGACAGCAAATGTTGATACATGATCAGTTGCGCCATTGGTGTTGCACCAGAGGTTAAAGGGAAATGAATAAACATTTGACTATGTTTTACAGGAGTTTCCATATTTACAAAATCTTCTTGAGGCATTACAGATCAAGATACTGTTATCATGTACACTATTAGAAGGGTTATGCTCTTTAAAATGTTCATCTTGTAAACTCTCTCTGTCTGTCTGTCTGTCTGTCTGTCTGTCTGTCTGTCTGTCTGTCTGTCTGTCTCTCTCTCTCTCTCTCTCTCCTCTTGCTCTCGCTCTCTCTGTCTCGTTCTCTCTCTCTCTTCATCTTGTAAACTCTGTCTGTCTGTCTGTCTGTCTGTCTGTCTGTCTGTCTGTCTGTCTGTCTGTCTGTCTGTCTGTCTGTCTGTCTGTCTGTCCTGTCTGTCCTGTCTGTCTGTCTGTCTGTCTGTCTGGTCTCTGCTGTCTCTCTCAGCTCTCTCTCTCTCTCTCTCTCTCTCTCTCTCTCATCTCTCTCTCTCTCTCTCTCTCTCTCTCTCTCCTCTCTCTCTCTCTCTCTCCTCTCTCTCTCTCTCTCCTCTCTCTCTCTCTCTCTCTCTCTCTCTCTCTCTCTCTCTCTCTCTCTCTCTTTCTCTTCTGTAGGTCCCGATGTGGTGATAGAGATGAGATTTCTCCCAAGAGGATTAAAACAGAGGTGAGCTCATCTCTTTCGTCTCACACCACATGATCCAACAACCACGGAGCTTTCCACAGAGTTTGACTTTATATAAGTTAAAGCTCACTCCTATATCCCCAGTTTCCTAACACCTTGTGTGCTGTTAGATTAGAAAAGGTAAATCCCTTAACAATCCCGGATTCCCACAGACAGATAGTGCATGGTTCTGGATGGGTGTGTCCAGCTCCTTTTGTTTGGATAGCTGCCTGTCAGCCAGCTTGGCCGTGTGGATGGGGCTCGGCGGACAGGGGGTGTGTCCCTCAAGACTACTGGGTGTCATAATGTAGGGGAAAGATCAAAGTTCACCGGAATAAAAACTTCCTCTGTCGAATCAGGTCACCTCCTCCTCCGCGCCTTACATAACACCCTAAGGACCCACAGTGAGAGATTGACTGACACACCTCATTGCATCCACTCCTTGTCTTTTGAAGTGCGTTGGATACAGCGTAGTAGAGGGCTTTGTCTGTCAGTGTGTCAATGCTTCTCTAGTTCCATTCCTCATAGTGTAGTGCAGGTGTTGAGTAAAGAGTTCCCTCAGAAACTCAGCTGAGTTGTTTTGAGTTGTTAAGTAAAGAGTGTCTTTGTGTAGGGAGCTGTTGTGAGCTGAGCTTATGGCAGCTGTCCATTCATCTCTCTCCAGTGGTATGTTTGATGGCAGTCCAAACCTCTGATGTGAGTGAGCTTCCCCTACACCTCCACAGACCAGGGGTGGGCCAGGGTGGGACTAGCTAGCTAGCAGGCCCACTCCCCCCATCACCTTCCCCCTGTTTCACAGTCCTCCGTGGGAGTCACATAGCAGACCTTGGTAGAACATATACATTTGTTTGAATTAATGAATTTGTTGAAGTGAATTATTTTCATATAAAATATATTTTCTGAAATGTATTGGAGGCTACTGAAAATACTTGCTACAATTTAATTTGATCACTCTTTTGTGCTGCAAATGTTCCTGCACAGCAGGAAATGCAAACTTGTAGTGTATTCAAGGTTAGAAAGGCTTCTAAAGTTTGTAATTTCCACTTTAAAATGTCAGACTTGATTTGCCCTAATGAAAAACGTATCAATTAATTATAATCCACATTATAATTCAACATTTCCTGTTGATGCAGGATTATTTTCCTGCTGTAGAAAGGCTCAAATTAAGATCCTATATCTGTACATACTTGACACACCGCTGTCCGTTTTTCAAAGATTTTCAGTTTCTGGCACTTTTCTCTTACTAAGGGCGAATTATTCCCACAACCTGGTTGTTTTCTTTTAACTAACACACACACACACACACACACACACACACACACACACACACACACACACACACACACACACACACGTACACACACACACACTACCGCCACCCTCCCATTAAGAGCCAACCACACGCCCACATGGACAACACAAAAGCCCAAATGAGCTTTTACATGATATCACCGCATGGGCGTGCTCGGAACCACCCACCCCCATGCACTTGCGCAGTTGGGTTGTCCGCACGCACACACAGTACGCATATGCTCTTTGTCTCTCTCTCTCTGTCTCTCCCCCTCTCTCACATAGACACAGTCTGACTCCACGCCTTCTGTGGGTGCTGTGAAGGCGTGATAAATCATAAGGTGTGGCGGTAGGGTGAGCTCAGATTTACGTCACCAGCAGACATGCGTTAACCTTCCCCCTACATCCTTCACTAACCCTGTACGGAGAGGAAGGACTTCCCTTTCAACCCAACCTGGCAACCCACTGTCTCCTTATTCTGACCTCAATTTCAACTTCAGAATCCCACAAACAGATCTGATGGTAGACATGCTGAAAATAAAACAGGTATTCTTCACAGGAGATAAGTGTGACAAGCATCCTCTGGAGAGACTGGGTGACATTATTTCAGCTAGATGGCATCATGAGTAGATTAGAGTATAAAAGGAGAGATAATCAGAATGGGACCATGGTCTGATAGTGGCATTCCTCACTGTCTCTGTCTCTGTCTCTGTCTCTGTCTCTGTCTCTCTCTGTCTCTGTCAGGAGGGCTTCTTTGACCTACAGGAGGCCCTGCAGGCCATCCACATGAGACAAGAGACCCTGAGGGAGCAGCTGGCCACAGCCAAGTCTAAAGGAGAGGAGACCACAGGACGCAGCATCCAGGTGACTACACTACCCCTCACTGACTGAATGTCTGAGGGACAGATGGACAGACTGACGGACAAACAGACATAAAGACTGGCTGGCTAGCTAATGGCTTGCTGTCTGACTGCCTGTCTGTCTGATTGACTGACTGACTCGCTGGCTGACATTCAGTCTGCGGGTGGGTGCATAGGCTGGGTAGTACAAATGAGAAGAAATTAAGTGAGAAAGCGAAGATTCACCACTGTATATAATCAGCAGAGTTATTGACAAGCTCTTTTGTTTTATAATACAGTTTGTATCCTCTCGCCATTTCTCATTTCTAATTGAGGAAAAACAGAATCATTAAAGCAGTAGCACGTCGGTGCCTTCTTCCCCGTCTGTTACGACATCATCACCATGCTTAAAATACCCGCCTAATTATCCCTCTTCAAATTGCAGGCTTCTTTTCTGTATTCTTTGGAGAGACAGACGAGACAGGAAAGTGTAGATGCAGGAAATGGCTGACAGATACGCGTAAACAACGAGTATCTAGACTAGAGAAGGGACTTGAGATTGTGATGCCCTTTTAGATGGTCTGTGATAGAACTTCAGGCTCAGTTCTTTGTGTGTTATGTGTTTTCTAATGTGTGTGGATGTGTGTGAAAAAATCGTACGAACTTCATTTGTATTGTGCGTAATATCTTTAACTCTGATTATGTGCATCTGTGTGTGTGTTATAGCTGCAGCTGGAGCATCTGCTGGCCAGGCAGATGGAGATCCTCCACGAGGCCAAGGCCCAGGACAGACTTCAGACCTTGGAGTGGAGGGTCCCTATGGGGGGCTTCAAATTCAGACACAGCACAGACCCAGAGCACCGCCACCATGCCAACGGAGGCTCCACTGACAACACCGGACTACAACCAGGTCAGACGTTAGACATTTATGTTGGGAAGTGTATATTACACCTGCAGAACGAAAACATAAGGTTAGCCATAGGGGTCGGAATTACACTGAACAAAAATATAAACGCAACATGTAAAGTGTTGGTTTCATGCGCTGAAATAAAAGACCCCAGAAATTTTCCATATACACAAAAAGCTTATTTCTCTCAAATGTTGGGCACCAATTTGTTTACATCCTTGTTAGTGAACATTTATCCTTTGCCAAAATAATCCATCCATCTGACAGGTATGGCATATCAAGGAGCTGATTAAACAGCATGATCATTACACAGGTGCACCTTGTGCTGGGGACAATAAAAAGCCACTCTAAAATGTGCAGTTTTGTCACAGATGTCTCAAGTTTTGAGGGAGCGTGCAATTGGCATGCTGACTGCAGGAATGTCCACCAGAGCTGGATTGACAGTTCGTTTCAGCCCAGGACCTCCACACCCGGCCTCTTCACCTGCGGGATCTTCTGAGACCAGCCACCCGGACAGCTGATGAAACTGTGGGTTTGCACAACCAAATAATTTCTGCACAAACTGTCAGAACTGTCTCAGGGAAGCTCATCTGCATGCTCGTCGTCCTCACCAGGGTCTTGACCTGACAGCAGTTCGGCGTCGTAACCAACTTCAGTGGGCAAATGCTCACTTTCGATGGCCACTGACACGCTGGAGAAGTGTGCTCTTCATGGATGAATCCCGGTTTCAACTGTACCGGGAAGATGGCGTTGTGTGGGCAAGCAGTTTGCTGATGTCAACGTTGTGAACAGAGTGCCCCATGGTGGCAGTGGGGTTATGGTATGGGCAGGCATAAGCTACGTACAACGAACACAATGGTATTTTATATATACAGTGGGGGGAAAAAAGTATTTAGTCAGCCACCAATTGTGCAAGTTCTCCCACTTAAAAAGATGAGAGAGGCCTGTCATTTTCATCATAGGTACACGTCAACTATGACAGACGAAATGAGAAAAAAAATCCAGAAAATCACATTGTAGGATTTTTAATGAATTTATTTGCAAATTATGGTGGAAAATAAGTATTTGGTCAATAACAAAAGTTTCTAAATACTTTGTTATATACCCTTTGTTGGCAATGACACAGGTCAAACGTTTTCTGTAAGTCTTCACAAGGTTTTCACACACTGTTGCTGGTATTTTGGCCCATTCCTCCATGCAGATCTCCTCTAGAGCAGTGATGTTTTGGGGCTGTCGCTGGGCAACACGGACTTTCAACTCCCTCCAAAGATTTTCTATGGGTTTGAGATCTGGAGACTGGCTAGGCCACTCCAGGACCTTGAAATGCTTCTTACGAAGCCACTACTTCGTTGCCCGGGCGGTGTGTTTGGGATCATTGTCATGCTGAAAGACCCAGCCACGTTTCATCTTCAATGCCCTTGCTGATGGAAGGAGGTTTTCACTCAAAATCTCACGATACATGGCCCCATTCATTCTTTCCTTTACACGGATCAGTCGTCCTGGTCCCTTTGCAGAAAAACAGCCCCAAAGCATGATGTTTCCACCCCCTTGCTTCACAGTAGGTATGGTGTTCTTTGGACTCCAAACACGACGAGTTGAGTTTTTACCAAAAAGTTATATTTTGGTTTCATCTGACCATATGACATTCTCCCAATCCTCTTCTGGATCATCCAAATGCACTCTAGCAAACTTCAGACGGGCCTGGACATGTACTGGCTTAAGCAGGGGGACACGTCTGGCACTGCAGGATTTGAGTCCCTGGCGGCGTAGTGTGTTACTGATGGTAGGCTTTGTTACTTTGGTCCCAGCTCTCTGCAGGTCATTCACTAGGTCCCCCCGTGTGGTTCTGTGATTTTTGCTCACCGTTCTTGTGATCATTTTGACCCCACGGGGTGAGATCTTGCATGGAGCCCCAGATCGAGGGAGATTATCAGTGGTCTTGTATGTCTTCCATTTCCTAATAATTGCTCCCACAGTTGATTTCTTCAAACCAAGCTGCTTACCTATTGCAGATTCAGTCTTCCCAGCCTGGTGCAGGTCTACAATTGTGTTTCTGGTGTCCTTTATAATAATAATAATAATATGCCATTTAGCAGACGCTTTTATCCAAAGCGACTTACAGTCATGCGTGCATACATTTTTTGTGTATGGGTGGTCCCGGGGATCGAACCCACTACCTTGGCGTTACAAGCGCCATGCTCTACCAGCTGAGCTAGAAAGGACATGTTCATGTTCATCCCTGGCTGCACCGGGGTCCTCCCGGGGTTGCTGATATCTGATTTGTCCACTGCTTGTGGACGCACATGGCTCCTCTGTTGGTGTCTCACTCTCAGCCTCTACCTCCCCCTCAGCTGCTCCATCTGTCTCACTTTCCTGCTCTACTATGCCTTCACTTTGACAGCTCTTTGAACTTGGCCATAGTGGAGTTTGGAGTGTGACTGTTTGAGGTTGTGGACAGGTGTCTTTTATACTGATAACAAGTTCAAACAGGTGCCATTAATACAGGTAACGAGTGGAGGACAGAGGAGCCTCTTAAAGAAGAAGTTACAGGTCTGTGAGAGCCAGAAATCTTGCTTGTTTGTAGGTGACCAAATACTTATTTTCCACCATAATTTGCAAATACATTCATTAAAAATCCTACAATGTGATTTTCTGGATTTTTTTCCCTCAATTTGTCTGTCATAGTTGACGTGTACCTATGATGAAAATTACAGGCCTCTCTCATCTTTTTAAGTGGGAGAACTTGCACAATTGGTGGCTGACTAAATACTTTTTTCCCCCACTGTATTTGATCCCCTGCTGATTTTGTACGTTTGCCCATTGACAAAGACATGATCAGTCTATCATTTTAATGGTAGGTTTATTTGCACACATCTCAGGAGGGATTTTGTTCCACTCCTCTTTGCAGATCTTCTCCAAGTCATTAAGGTTTCGAGGCTGACGTTTGGCAACTCGAACCTTCAGCTCCCTCCACAGATTTTCTATGGGATTAAGGTCTGGAGACTGGCTAGGCCACTACAGGACCTTAATGTGCTTCTTCTTGAGCCACTCCTTTGTTGCCTTGGCCGTGTGTTTTGGGTCATTGTCATGCTGGAATACCCATCCACTACCCATTTTCAATGCCCTGTGCTGAGGGAAGGAGGTTCTCACCCAAGATTTGACGGTACATGGCCCCGTCCATCGTCCCTTTGATGCGGTGAAGTTGTCCTGTCCCCTTAGCAGAAAAACATCCCCAAAGCATAATGTTTCCACCTCCATGTTTGACGGTGGGGATGGTGTTCTTGGGGTCATAGGCAGCATTCCTCCTCCTCCAAACACGGTGAGTTGAGTTGATGCCAAAGAGCTCGATTTTGGTCTCAACTGACCACAACACTTTGACCCAGTTCTCCTCTGAAGCATTCAGATGTTCATTGGCAAACTTCAGACGGGCCTGTATATGTGCTTTCTTGAGCAGGGGGACCTTGCGGGCGCTGCAGGATTTCAGTCCTTCACGGCGTAGTGTGTTACCAATTGTTTTCTTGGTGACTATGGTCCCAGCTGCCTTGAGATCATTGAAAATATCCTCCCGTGTAGTTCTGGGCTGATTCCTCACCGTTCTCATGATCATTGCAACTCCACGAGGTGAGATCTTGCATGGAGCCCCAGGCCGAGGGAGATTGACAGTTCTTCTGTGTTTCTTCCATTTGCGAATAATCGCACCAACTCTTGTCACCTTCTCACCAAGCTGCTTGCCGATGGTCTTGTAGCCCATTCCAGCCTTGTGTAGGTCTACAATCTTGTCCCTGACATCCTTGGAGAGCTCTTTGGTCTTGGCCATGGTGGAAAGTTTGGAATCTGATTGATTGATTGCTTCTGTGGACAGGTGTCTTTTATACAGGTAACAAACTGAGATTAGGAGCACTCCCTTTAAGAGTGTGCTGCTAATCTCAGCTCGTTACCTGTATAAAAGACACCTGGGAGCCAGAAATCTTTCTGATTGAGAGGGGGTCAAATACTTATTTCCCTCATTAAAATGCAAATCAATTTATAAAATTTTTGACATGTGTTTTTCTGGATTATTTTGTTGTTATTCTGTCTCTCACTGTTCAAATAAACCTACCATTAAAATTATAGACTGATCATTTATTTGTCAGTGGGCAAACGTACAAAATCAGCAGGGGATCAAATACTTTTTTCCCTCACTGTATATCTTTTTTTTTTTTGTGTCATTTAGCAGACGCTCTTATCCAGAGCGATTTACAGGAGCAATTAGGGTTAAGTGCCTTGCTCAAAGTCACATCAACAGATTTTTCACCTAGTGGGGATTAGACCTTTCTGTTACTGGCACAACGCTCTTAACCACTAAGCTACCTGCCGCCCGATGGCGATTTGAATGCACAGAGATACCGAGACAAGATCCTGAGGCCCATTGTCGTGCCATTCATCCGCCTCCATCACCTCATGTTTCAGAATGATAATACACAGCCCCATGTCGCAAGGATCTGTACACAATTCCTGGAAGCTGAAAATGTCCCAGTTCTTCCATGGCCTGCATACTCACCATACATGTAGATTTGACCTAGATAGTTTGTGTATCTATTGATATGTAGGCTACATGTGCCATTTTTAAATGTTTGTAGTTCTGTTCTTGTCTATTAATGTTCTGTATTATGTCATGTTTCATGTTTTGTGTGGACCCCAGGAAGAGTAGCTGCTGCATTTGCAACAGCTAATGGGGATCCTAATAAAATATAAAATACCAAATACCAAATATAAACTGTAACTCAGTAAAAAAAATCTTTGAAATTGTTGTATGTTGCGTTTAGGTTTTTGTTCAGTGTAATCAAGTGTTGAAGTTAGGTTTAGGAACGAAGGTTACGGTTCAGGTTAGGTATAGTTTCAATGACGCTTAGGAAAGGGTTAGGGAAATGCATAAAAAGTTAACATTGTGTAAGCATACCACCATCCGCCACCATTCTTTTTGTGCTGGTTAAATATACTGCCTTTATGTTTAGTTTCTCAGTCACGCTTTAATTTCTTCCATTCTATTTCTCAGCTGTTTGTGGAGATTTTGGGGAGTTTCAGGAAGGATCCACGTGTGTGTGTATGATCCTCATATAGGGAAAAACAGACTTATGTAACCATAAATGCTATGAGATGCTTTCAAGCTTGCTTTGAGTACCATAGGCTGCTATTGTATTGATCTGAAGCCCTCTTAAGAGTGCGTGGTGAACACAAAGGATAGAGGGTGACACCTTTCACACCCACAACCTCACACAGTCAACAGCATGACACTGCAGTATTAATACTGCCTATTCTCTTTCCCTTCATGCACACTCACACACAGACATACACACTGAAACACACACACAGGCACACACTCACACCAGTGGAGGCTGATGAAGCGAGGATGGCTCATACATGTACACAGCGTGAGTTATCTTCCTTTGTGCTCTACCTCTGGCTGATCTAATGGGTCTTCATTGACAGCAATGTGGCGTGACTAACACCTTTTTATTTCATACACAGTACACACACCACTCTTTCATTTAACAGCCTCTATTCAGTGCAGAGAGAGACATAGATAATGGCATTTTCTACAGAACAGACACAAATCATTATTTTGAGTAACGGGTGTTTTAATGGCTTTTTATGAGTTGAATTGAGTGTTAGAATAGAATGGAATAGATAAGTACTTTATTGTCATTCTGTTTTTATAAAATTGTTGGCCTTACCTAGCTGTGTGTTCCTGCAGGGGAGAGGCCACTGAACCTGCGGGTGGCAGGTCAAAGGTCGGATGGAGACATACCCCTGGGGAAACAGCTAGCCAATGAGCTGAAGAGGCATCACAGCAACGGGGAGGGAAAGACCCCGGTGACGAGTCACCATTGCAATGTCGAGGGCAAAACTCTGGCCACAGGTCTGCACCTAGAGATTCTCTATTATAGTTCATTCACAATGAATCATTTGATATGGAATCAGCTCAAAGATTCCATCACATTTATCCTTCATTCTGAATCATTTGATACTGAATCAACTGGTTGATTCTCTGTCATACTTCACTCATGCTGAGTCATCTGATAAAAATCCAACTCCTCCTATTTGTTTTCTCTTTCTCATTCCAGAAAATGGGAACGGGGCCGACTTCTCCCAAGGGGCTCTCAACCTTTCCGACAAGAAGACCATCAAATCAGAGCCAGAGGATTCCAGATAGCACCTCCTCCTCCTCCTCCTCCTCCTCCTTCCTCATCCCTCTCTCATAACACAGTCGTCGTCAGTCAATACTAAACAAGCACAGCTACAGTAGAGCCTTAACAACCAATGTTGCCTCAAGAAAAGGGATTTTACTTTTTGTTTATTTTTTGCCAAAGCACCTAGAGAGCCTTTGTTTCTTTCCTTGTAGAAGCCCAGTTTTTTGTGTTTTCACTGACTGTGTTGATTCACCCTCCCCTCTCTCCTTTCTTACTATCAAGACTGATGGCGAGGGGTCTGTAGATGTCATTTTTGTACATACATAATTCTGACTCTGAAAAGTGTTTGTTTGTCATTGATGTTATTTAAATATATGCTGTGTAGAATAAGGAAATTTATTTTTGGTGGACTATAGGACGTCATTTACGTCCAGATTGGGAAGTTGGATGTCTCAGTTGTTACGAGAACAGGTTTGGCTCTGGTTTGTTAAGAGTATACGAGGACAACACCAGCAGATCCTGGTGGTATTCCCTTTCACTTTGAGTCAACCAGGATTTGGCTCAGAAAAGTCTTATTCAATTTGACAATGTGGTCCGATTTGATCAAAGCACTAACAGTAGGGTGTACAGTGAATTCGGAAAGTATTCAGACCCCTTGACTTTTCCCCACATTTTGTTACGTTACAGCCTTATTCTAAAATGGATGAAATACATTTTTTTTCCTCATCAATCTACACACAATACCCAATAATGACAAAGCGAAAACAGGTCTTTAGAAATGTTCGCCAAAAACAGAAATATCTTATTTACATAAGTATTCAGACCCTTTGCTATGAGACTCGAAATTGAGCTCAGATGTATCCTGTTTCCATTGATCATCTTTGAGATGTTTCTACAACTTGATTGCAGTCCACCTGTGGTAAATTCAATTGATTGGACATGATTTGGAAAGGCACACACCTGTCTATATAAGGTCCCACAGTTGACAGTGCATGTCAGAGCAAAAAATTGTCCGTAGAGCTCAGAGACAGGATTGTGTCGAGGCACAGATCTGGGGAAGGGTACCAAAACATTTCTGCAGCATTGAAGGTCCCCAAGAACACAGTGGCCTCCATCATTCTTAAATGGAAGAAGTTTGGAACCACCAAGACTCTTCCTAGAGATGGCCACTGTGAAATCGGGGGAGAAGGGCCTTGGTCAGGGAGGTGACCAAGAACCCGTTGGTCACTCTGACAGAGCTCCAAAGGTCCTCTGTGGAGATGGGAGAACCTTCCAGAAGGATAATAATTTCTGCAGCACTCCACCAGTCAGGCCTTTATGGTAGAGTGGCCAGACAGAAGCCACTCCTCAGTGAAAGGCACATGACAGCCCTCTTGGAGCTTGCCAAAAAGCACCTAAAGGACTCTCAGACCATGATATTTTTTTAAAATCTGGTCTGATGAATACCAAGATTGAACTCTTTGGCCTGAATGCCAAGCGTCACGTCTGGAGGAAACCTGGCACCATCCCTACCGTGAAGCATGTTGGTGGCAGTATCATGCTGTGGGGATATTTTTCAGCGACAGGGACTGGGAGTCAGGATCAAGGGAAAGATGAACGGAGCAAAGTACAGAGAGATCCTTGATGAAAACCTGCTACAGAGCGCTCAGGACCTCAGACTGGGGTGAAGGTTCACCTTCCAACAGGACAACGACCTTAAGCACACAGCCAAGACAACGCAGGAGTAGCTTCGGGACAAATCTCTGAATGTCTTTGAGTGGCCCAGCCAGAGCCCGAACTTGAAGCTGATCGAACATCTCAGGAGAGACCTGAAAATAGCTGTGCAGCGACACTCCCCATCCAAACTGACAGAGCTTGAGAGGATTTGCATAGAAGAATGGGAGAAACTCCCCAAATACAGGTGTGCCAAGCTTGTAGCGTCATTCCTAAGAAGACTCAAGGCTGCAATCGCTGCCAAAGGTGCTTCAACAAAGTACTGAATAAGGGTCTGAATACTTATGTAAATGTGACATTTCAGTTATTGTATTTTTTAAAATTTGCCCAAAAATTGAAAAACCTGTTTTTGCTTTGTCATTATGGGGTATTGTGCGTAGATTGATGAGAAAAAACAAAACAATTTAATTTATTTTAGAATAAGGCTGTAATGTAACAAAATGTGGGAAAAGTCAAGGGGTCTGAATACTTTCCGAATGCACTGTATATGGGATGACAACTTTAGAGACAATTTTATGTGATAACGTCGGGTGTGTATTATATCCATCAAGAATAAGCACAAGTAGTCCTAGCCGCCATATTTTTCAAATGGAGACGTTGACCTTCTCGATATTACTAAATGGAGGGAATTAAAAATATTGTGAACCACGAAACAGTAATAACTTAATTTGAAAGGAGGGTTTACCATCGCACCTTCTCACTTTGAGTAGTACAATACCAATTGTGTGTTAGTAGAGCAATACCGTCTTGCTGTTGTTGAGGAACCAAGTGCAAATGTCTAGTTGTCCCAGTTGTGGGGATCTTGTTCACTGTACAGTTGTTATATTTCTTGTTCACTAGCGTTAGCCATAGTCCTAGGTCCCCCCGGCCCACACCCATCCTCTAGATGACCTGGAACAGATATGCACTATTGTTTGATTCTAAAATGCATCCTCATGTTTTTAGAATTTCCATCAAAGTATTTTGATCGTTTCTCATAGTCTCCCATGAATGACGTGCTGTACATGTTTGTATAGAAACGTTTGAGTAATGTAGTCAATGACATGCATTTCTGGGGTACTAGGGTCCTCTCTTAATGTCACTTTAGATCAAGCCGTTTTAGAGCCACCATCATATGAAGTAATTTGTCAGGTTTCCCTCTCATATTCATATTTTAGTCACGTACCAGTTCAGCTGTCTCACTAATTGTATTGGTGTTTAAAATGATTACCTCTTCTTTCAGTTACACTGATAGATTATGTTCTCTATTCTCATGCAATAGTTAAATGGACAGTTCACTAAAAATATACATTATATGATTTACCACTTACCATATTTCATGTTTTTAGAGCACAGTATTTGATGACAGTGCCTGCAATGGTGTGGTTAGCTTTTGGTCAGGAGTGGCTAGCCAGAGGATACTGACACGTACACAATAACCAGGATAAGCCTGAACAACTTTAGGGTTGATCATTGCAACACCATGGAGTAAAAAAACATGTGAATTTGTATATTTAGTGAACTAACCAAAATGTGAGGATAAAATATACATGTTTATAATCTATTGGATGAATGTATTTTTGTTCAGAACACAAATAATTTTTAGCATGCAAATCTTTGTTAATTTACCTAAGTGGGGATTGTTATCTAATGGCCTATTGAACATCTACATTCACCCTCACTTTGAAAACCGTATTGTTAAGTAATTTGAATGTCTAAATAGTTTCCCACTACGTCATGGAAACATTTTGGCAGTATGATTGATTCATAAATGTTTACCTAATTCTACCTAATTCTGTACCTGACTGTTTCTGTATTCAAAATAGCAATCTCCAAATAAAGTAAGGCAACCACAAGTTGGCTCCAACAGAAACAGACTGGCACCCAGGCTACCACCAACCAGCTTCACAGAAGGAGGTTATCTGAACCACCTTAGTTCCTTGTGAGTTCCTGTTCCTCTGCACCACCTACCTTTGTTCTTGCACTCTGTTGAACTTGTAACGGCTTTGTATTATACAGTAGAATTATACATTTATAACTGTGGGATGAAACTATGTTTGTTGTCGATAGAATTTGTTCTTATCACTGTTGTTGTTGGTAAAAACGTCATTAGGTTATGCATTGTCATGCCCCCTATTGTTTTGTAAACACTAATATATTTACTTTGTTATACAGCACATGAACATTAAACTCTATTTTTTGAGATCTGATGGTGGATTACTTTTCATGCGGCTGTCCTCAAAATAATTGATGTGCTTTATATTTAACTAAATTGAACAAAAATCTAGTTATTAGTGGAGAGCTCAGAGTTCTGAGAAGTTCTTAGCTTGACAAGCCAAAACAACTTCTGAGAACTCATTTGAGGTAAAATTGAGGTAAATGTCCTCTCCCCTATGATAGGGTTGCAGATGCTCTCTCTCTCTGAATCGAGATAACAACCTGAGTAGATGAGATTTGGGCGGCTTTTTGTGTCCTTAGCAAATACTGTGCTAGTTTTGCCTTCAGAAAACCCCAAAGAGGTGGATGTAAGAGCATCTACGAGGGTGTACATCGAGAAAAGGCAATTCAGCCTGCACAATTCTCCATCTCTTTCAAGTCCAAAAAAACTACCTACAAAACTACATTTGCATACAAGATTAGGAAATTCTGCCGCTGCAGTGCTTCTGAACAGAGTGATTCTGATTCTCCAGCATACAGCATACTCCAGCTCATACTCTCAAACCTTTGACTCTCAAAACCATCTTAGTGTCCTTATTCATGTTTAGCCATTTAAACTCAGTTACCATTTGGATGTTTTTGAAAAACTTCAGAGGAGAGGACATTTTCAAGTCACTGCTATGTGCTATGTTCTTGGAAACAAACAGTTATACACAGCATGTATATAGGTCTGATAGGTCCTATCAGATGCCTTGGTGTGGGTGTGTTACACATAGAAATAGAACTCTGATATATTGTATGTACAGTGCCTTGCAAAAGTATTCAGACCCCTTGGATTTCATCAAATTTTATTGTGTTACAAAGTGGGATTAAAATTGATTTCATTGTAATTTTTTGGTTAACATCTACACAAAACAACCTGTAATGTCAAAGTGGAAGAAAAATGAAATGTCCTTTTAAGATAAATAAAAAATTGTATAACTAAAATATAGTTGTTGTATAAGTTTTCAGCCCCTTTGTTTAGGCAAGCCTAAATTAGTTCAGGAGTAAAATTTGCCTTAACAAATCACAGAATAAGTTACATGGACTCACTCTGTGTGAAATAATAGTGGTTGACATTAATTTTTTTATGACTAATCCTTCCTCTGTCCCCCATACATACAACACCTATAAGGTCCCTCAGTCAAGTATTGAATT